ATCCTGATAGCGTACCCGGGCGGGAGGGGATGCGCCTCAGGCCGACGGCTACATTGAGACACACCGGATGCGGGACACATTGAGTCGGCCTTCCTTTTTTTTAATTTGGTGTAAATAATATTTTTGTATATATTAACAACAATATTTAATCGAATATGTCCATTACTTTTTTTAGTTCTCCATGTGTTTTATTGTTTCATATAACAACACAAGCATTTAAACTTAAATGCCACTTCAATTAAAATAAATTTTAGTACAACAAACAAGGAAAACATTAGTACAACACAAACACAAACATAACATGCCAACATAATAAAAATACATAAAATATGAAAAATACACTAAACACATACAGGCCATTGTTTAGTCCCGGCTGCCATTTATTCTCCGCTCCAACCACTTAAATCGTTGTTCCATTTGTTCTTTTTCTTTTTCTAACTCTTTCACTCTCGCCTTCACCTCCGCAAGTTCTCGTTTATATTTTTTTTACGTTTCTTCTGTCCTTCACAATTACATTCTGCTCTCCATTTTTCATCTCCTACCTCCTTCAGTTTCTCCCTCATTTCTGTAATAATTCTATCGCTTTATCTTTGTACTCCCAGTTGGCATAACCACATATTATGAAGAGATTGCAGTTGTTCTCTGTAGCATTCCTGATAACATGGTTCATCAACCCATTCATCAAACTCACACATAGGTTCGCCGGGAACCTTGTACAACTGGTTCAATACAGTGCCAGTAGCGGCGTCCAACATCACGACCTTCCCAACAACTTTTCATCACGCATTCTTTTTCACAGTAGCACATTGGTGGATGAAGAGGTTGAGCCATTTGTGAAATATTTCCTTTTAGTAAAAAAAAATCTTTCTTTTAATTAAATATTTGCGTTTAGTAAATTGAGCACACAAAATGACTACAATGAGCCCGTTATTTATAGGCGAGAGAACACACACATAACGCCAGGTATAATGGCGCTATATTTAGTGTGTTAAATATCATGATGTTAATAAGACTACTTTATGTCAGCTGGTCAGCTTTTTCAGTTCGACAAGACAACACACACATAACGCCAGGTATAATGGCGCTATATTTAGCGTGTTAAATATCATGATGTTAATAAGACTACTTTATGTCAGCTGGTCAGCTTTTTCAGTTCGACAAGACAACACACACATACTAAATGGAAATTCGTGTTACATTTAAATATTCCTAGAGGAAAAATAACGAAAAAGAAAAAAATGTGAAATAAGTGGACCGATATTTCTTCCATTATCTAGAATCAAACCAAATATTGTGAAAGTTGAATTATGTTAATGTCAAAGCATCTTTATTTTTCTTATATATAGAAGAGTGGTAATGTGCTGGACTTGGAAAAAAATTATTTTATTACAAGCATAATTTTATTTCATAAATCAGGCAACATACACATATTCACTAATTATTACAACATCAACTCATGGGTAGTTAGGTACACTAGAAGAACACCCACCCCGAGCTTGATTACTGTTGCCACCCAAAGGACATTTTCTACGGTCGTGTCCTGTTTGCGAGCATATACCACATTTTCGCGCATAAACTGTATCACTAACATCCATTTGGTTCCGTATACGCGTTCTCTTCTGCACCCGTATTTTACGCAAATAGGACTTGTTACACACCATTTTAAATGGTTCAGGAGGCCAATAATGCTCAGCACCCAGTGGCTGCAACTGACCACTATATGTGTTTAGGTACTTGGAAACACTATATTGTCGATCAACATAGTTGGTTGCACCTAAACCAACTTGTTGAAAGCACTTGATGGCATGTGAGCAAGGCATGTGGTAGATGGACCATTTTCCACAAGAGCATAACCTTGCAGATTCATTTACAGTATACACATTATTACCCCGATTTTGATGGATAGCGGTGCGAACTTCAAAAACATTTCTTTCATTATCATACTGCAAAAATGAATGCCAATGTGCTCGTCGTCTGTATTTCTCAAATCTCATCATTGGCACTGGCATAAATTCAACACCCCTTTCCATCAATGACGTTGCAGCCGCAGACCTTTCAACGAACCTCTCCGCCATTTGCTTGAACGACATCCGCACCATGGTTGTGACAGGCAATCCTCTTGCCGACTTCAATAACCCGTTGAAAGACTCTGACACGTTTGTAGTCAGAGTTCCCCATCGTCTGCCACCATCCGCATGCAAAGTCCATTTTTCAGGGTCATGTCGCATTAACCAACGATAGGCTGCCTCGTCTTCTTGCCTGATATATTCCATGTGCCTCCGGAATTTATGTTGTTGGTGGTCTGTTGCTGCCATCTACATCAAATCATGCAGATCCTTATTGGGATATGCCTTCTGGAAATTGGCTTTCAAATGCCTAACACAGTAACGATGGTAGGCATAAGGTTCTTGCCATGCAGGCAAGTTCTCCACAGAACTTAAGATACCACCGTGCCGATCAGATATTAGACAGATACTGAAACGTTGTTTCACAACGTGCTCTTTCATATGGTTCAAAAACAACGTCCACGTCTCTTGGCTTTCATTGGCACAAATAGCAAAAGCTAGAGGAAATATCTGTCCATTAGCATCTACTGCCACGGCTATTAACAGCTTGATATCGTACTTTCCATAGACATGAGTGCCGTCTATGGATATTACGGGGCGACAATGCGAAAAACCATCAATTGCTGGTTTAAACGCCCAGAACACGTAATTGAATATATATTCTGGTTTACCTGCACTTCGCTCAAGCTTCCACTCAACAACTGTCCCGGGGTTAAAATGCTGTAGTGCAGCCATGTACCTAGGCAGATCTGCAAATGACTTATCCCAGTTACCATACACTATTTCAAACGCTCGTTTGCGCCCGAGAAATGCCTTTCTTTTAGTAATGGTATGGCCATGTTCCTGCTGGACTGATGTAATGCACTCTTTGATTTTTATACCTTATGGACTGTGCGATGTGTGGAATAAGAACAGAGAAATCAAG